CAACATTCACCACATGATCGCTATCACCAGCACCATTATTTGTAACTTTAGGTGGTTCACAAAAGAAATCTGTCAGTGTTTTTTTCATTTTCTCTCTTCTTCAGCCCTTTCTTTTCTCGCGGTAGTTAGCGGAAAGCAGTGACTGGGTGATTGACAGCTAATATTAACCAATCTAAAATCTGCACTAAAGTTAAGAATGTAAAGACGAAGTTTAATTGGTTATGTAGCCTAACGTTTCATAGAACGGCAGACAGGTCACCGTATCAGCACTCAGAAGGCACAAACTCTGAATGTTTTTAGAGAAATGCAAACAGGTCGCACGACAACAATTATATGCACTCGCACAAATGCTCCCAAATATATTTTGAGGTCGCACAGATTAAATTTCGGGAGCATATGCGACCAAAATGATCGCAATTTCAAGCCTTGCTAACAGTACATCACTACAGTGAGTGGGAAAAAAAGTGAACTAAGCATTTTCCACATAATATTTTACATATTTATATTATTTTTCAGAGTATAAATCGACTCTTTATACATGAGAATATACAGCCTAAAAAACCTTAAATAAATAAATACAAAATAAGAAAGCTAAATGGATAAGACAAATAAATAATAAAAAATTAAAATAAAATAAATTATAACATATATACATGAAATTTATATAAATAAAATATATATTTTATATTTAAATATATAGAATATATATATATAAACTATATATTTATATTAAATACATATTATTAATATATTTTAATATATATATTCATAATTATTAATATATATTATTAATATAAAATTTATTAAATATATTTATATGTTAAATATATAATAAAATAAATAATAGAACTAACAGTACAGTACTATACAGAGAAGAAAAGTAAATGTAATACAAACTAAATATTCTCCAAATATTATTTTACATATTTATAATATGAATTTTCAGTGTAGGTTGGGTTTTTATACATGACGCTACGCACAGCCATCATTTTAGGATGTTTCAGGAGTCTGTGGCATCTAAAAGACCGAAAACCCTTGGTTTAGTTGATCTTTACCTTCTCGACTTTCTTCTCCAGGATGTCTTTCATGATCTTGCACAGGTTCTCAAACTTGGCCTTCTTCTCCTCCTGCTTCTTCTTCTCCTCCTCGTCCTCGGGCAGCTCCAGACCCTCTTTGGTCACCGATACCAGGTTCTTGCCCTCGAAGTCCTTCAGCTGCTGGACGCAGTATTCATCGATGGGCTCGATCATGTAGATCACCTCCAGACCGGCTTTGCGCAGGCGCTCCACGAAAGCAGAGTTGGTCACCTGATCTTTGGTCTCACCTGCAGAAGATGCATGCAAACATTAGTTAAAGTCATTAATACAATGATTCCCAATGCATTGAGAGCTCAAGGCATCCACACCGGTGATGTAGTAGATGTGCTTCTGACTGTCCTTCATGCGAGTCACGTAATCTTTGAGGGACACCATCTCGTCTCCAGAAGCCGATGTGTAATAGCGAAGCAGCTCTGAGAGTTTCTTCCTGTTCTGAGAGTCTTCATGGATGCCTAGCTGTGTGACGGGAAAATATAGATATATAATATTAGTTGCCATGTTCACTGACTATTCATTTAAAAGAGTGATTCAATTAATATTCAGTCATATTATTGATTTGACTGCACTGACACTAGAAATGAACTCAGCTGAATAATCATACTATTGTCTTGTGTTTTGTAATATTTTTGCTTTTTTTTAACAATTTGCAATGAGGTATTTTTATGTACTTTTTAAAAATAAAAATACATCTAACAGTTCGGTACAATAGAGAGTGTGTGTGTGTGTGGGTGATTAAATACAAACTAACTATTTTCTAAATAATATTTTGCATGTATAATAATTTTGCACAGTATAAACTGGGACTTTAAACATGAAAATTTAAATTTAAGGGGGGGGGGGGATTAATAAAATCTAAAATTAAACTAAATAGATATCCAATTAAGACATAATTACAATTTTTATAAAAAATAAATAATAAAAAGATAAATATAACTAACAAAATAGGTAATTAATTGAGCTGAATGATTTTAAACATTTTGTTTTAAATACATTAAACAATTTGTTTTTTAGTTACTTTTTGCAATAAGGTTACATTTTTAAACATTTATGTTTATGAGTGAATCAATATTTTAAGACTATTAAAAATATGTGACTCTGCAGCACAAAAGCAGTGTTGAGTCGCTGGGGGATATTTGTAGCAATAGCCAACAATACATTGTATGGGTCACAATTATACATTTCTCTTTTATACCAAAAATCATTAGGATATTAAGTAAAGATCATGTTCCATGAAGATATTTTGTACATTTCCTACCGTAAATATATCAAAACTTAATTTTTGATTAGTAATATGCATTGCTAAGAACTTAATTTGAACAACTTTAAAGATGATTTTCTCAATATTTAGATTTTTTTGCACCCTCAGATTCCAGATTTTCAAATAGTTGTATCTCAGCCAAATATTGCCCTATATATTTTTTTATTATAGTATAAGTGATCAATTTGGCAACATTAACACTGTTATTTTCCTGTTTATTCCTACGAAGCTGCCTCGAATCAATCTGTTTTGTAATAAAGTGCTATAAAAACAAAGCTGACTATAACACTTTTACAACAAACCTTCTTTGTGTGTTTATTGGCTACTTGAGCTCGAGTTTCACCTTGATGTTCTTGGAGAACTGCTCGTAGCATTTCTTGTAGTTGTCTTTGTCCTCGGAGAGCTCAGTGAAGAGCTCCAGACACTTCTTGACCAGATTCTTGCGGATGACTTTCAGGATCTTGCTCTGCTGAAGCGTCTCTCTGGAGATGTTGAGCGGCAGATCCTCCGAGTCCACAACACCCTTAATGAAGTCTGGGAGGAAAAGTGGGATCACATTAAAGACGGCGCAAAACAAACAGATCTGAGGCTTCAGGTTTACTGGGAGATCTGGCTGGCGTTTGCATCATTCTGGATTCAGAGACTTACTGAGATATTCTGGGATGAGCTCGTCGCAGTTGTCCATGATGAACACCCTGCGCACGTACAGCTTGATGTTATTCTTCTTCTTCTTGTTCTCGAAGAGATCGAATGGAGCTCTGCGAGGCACAAAGAGCAGTGCACGGAACTCCAGCTGACCCTCCACAGAAAAGTGCTGCGAGGAAATAAACACAGATCTTGAGCGATGCTTAGTATTTCTTAAAAGTATGATAAACAATGCAATGATAAACAAACATTTTGATCATTAGCATGGTACATTGTCACATGACCTCCTTGTGTTGCATGGTGTCAGTTATTTAGGAAATAAAAATATTGCATGCTTGATATAATTTAAAATGTAATTTTTATAAATCTGATTGAATGGGTTTAGAAAATGCATATATATATATATATATACACATTTAAATAAATACATACATAAATATAAATGTGTATAATAAACGCAAATAAATACATACACACACACACATACACATATATATACGTATATATATTAGGGCTGTCAATCGATTAAAATTTTAATCTAATTAATTACATGATGTTACAAGATTCCAGATTTTCAAATAGTTGTATCTCAGCCAAATATTGCCCTATATATTTTTTTATTATAGTATAAGTGATCAATTTGGCAACATTAACACTGTTATTTTCCTGTTTATTCCTACGAAGCTGCCTCGAATCAATCTGTTTTGTAATAAAGTGCTATAAAAACAAAGCTGACTATAACACTTTTACAACAAACCTTCTTTGTGTGTTTATTGGCTACTTGAGCTCGAGTTTCACCTTGATGTTCTTGGAGAACTGCTCGTAGCATTTCTTGTAGTTGTCTTTGTCCTCGGAGAGCTCAGTGAAGAGCTCCAGACACTTCTTGACCAGATTCTTGCGGATGACTTTCAGGATCTTGCTCTGCTGAAGCGTCTCTCTGGAGATGTTGAGCGGCAGATCCTCCGAGTCCACAACACCCTTAATGAAGTCTGGGAGGAAAAGTGGGATCACATTAAAGACGGCGCAAAACAAACAGATCTGAGGCTTCAGGTTTACTGGGAGATCTGGCTGGCGTTTGCATCATTCTGGATTCAGAGACTTACTGAGATATTCTGGGATGAGCTCGTCGCAGTTGTCCATGATGAACACCCTGCGCACGTACAGCTTGATGTTATTCTTCTTCTTCTTGTTCTCGAAGAGATCAAATGGAGCTCTGCGAGGCACAAAGAGCAGCGCACGGAACTCCAGCTGACCCTCCACAGAAAAGTGCTGCGAGGAAATAAACACAGATCTTGAGCGATGCTTAGTATTTCTTAAAAGTATGATAAACAATGCAATGATAAACAAACATTTTGATCATTAGCATGGTACATTGTCACATGACCTCCTTGTGTTGCATGGTGTCAGTTATTTAGGAAATAAAAATATTGCATGCTTGATATAATTTAAAATGTAATTTTTATAAATCTGATTGAATGGGTTTAGAAAATGCATATATATATATATATATATATACACATTTAAATAAATACATAAATATAAATGTGTATAATAAATGCAAATAAATACATACACACACACATACACATATATATACGTATATATATTAGGGCTGTCAGTCGATTAAAATTTTAATCTAATTAATTACATGATGTTACAAGATTCCAGATTTTCAAAGAGTTGTATCTCAGCCAAATATCGTCCTATCCTAACAAACCATACATCAATGGAAAGCTATTTATTCAGCTTTCAGCTGATGCATAAATCTCAATTTCATAAAATCGACCCTTATGACTGGTTTTGTGCTCCAGGGTCACATATGACAAAATATACATACATATGACATTAAATATATATAGACACAAACATAAAATAATATATATATATATATACTAGTGCTGTCAAACAATTAATCATACAAAATAAAAGTTTTTGTTTGCATAATATATATGTGTGTGTTCTGTGCATATTTATTATGTATATTATGTATATATAAACACAAACTATTTATATATAATATAAATATATGACTGGTT